AGGAAAAGGGCTACCTTTATATGTGGATAAAGCTTTCTCAGTAACAGGCAACAAATTCCTATACAGTTTACTGCCATGTAAGTAACTAAAATTGATCCTCCTGATGGAATTGCCTTCTTTAGCCTAAATGAAGAACTATGGTGTCTCTACCAGGAAGCAATTGTGTTTGTTGACAACTTTTAACAAACTGATGGTAAAAAACTACACTTACTTTCCAGAAGGGAGAGATGAGGGAAGTCAAACTGGAAAACAAATCTGTAGGAATTGTGTTATTTCCTACTACCTTAAAAGAAAAACCTATGAGCACTTCATGAAATCAGAAAGACTATTTGTTTCAAGAAGAGTTTTTAGGTAAAAAAATTCCATGTGCATTTATCTCTTCAAGAAGCAATTCATATACAAAACTTCCAAGATGCAAGACCAAGATAAATACAAACTGTGTACTAAATACAGCAAAATAATCTGGATAGATTCTAATTGTTTACTGAGTAGGATCAGGAAGTGACATTGAAAAATCACCTTATTACTACTTACAGCCAACTATTTATGAGAGACAGGTTATTCAATACTAAAATAAATAAGATGAATACAGAGGAATAGCTGAATTACGAGAAAATAAAGGAAGCCCATTTTCAGCATCAATTAGTTCTGGTTAGAAAAATGTGTTAAATCCTTTCACTAATGGAAGATGGTCTCAAATTTATAAAGCACCTGAAGGAAAAGTAAAATGTATCACTGATCTTAAAAAGAGCCAATCTGGAAAATACACAGTTCTTAAGTCTAGATGTCTAAGGCTATGGAACTGTGCTGGCCATTTATGTCAGATTTGTTCTGTCAGCCCATTCCTAGAAACTGTCATTTCCAATGACCACACAAAATTTTAACATGAAGAGCCAGAAATCATTCAGTTCCTCTATATGTGATTTTTAAATTTTATTTTAATTAGCAGAATGGGAGGTGAGAAACGCTATTTAGTTGTTTCTACTGAGAAAGAGGGCATCATCCCTCTTCTCTGGGTAGGTGGCTGCTGCCAGTCAGCACTAATTCATGCACTGGCTTGACAGTGCACAAATAAGCAACTGCCAGAGGGAGAGTGGGACCAGGGTAAAAGATAAGATCTCATCATTAGGAAGCACAAGAAAGTCAGTGGTTTTCCAGGATGAGAATGAAGAGACCTCAAAACATGGGGAAACCTGAGGTACTGCACAATAGAGCCATTAAAGAATAGGAAGGGAACTATACTATGTATGTTGGAAGTGTGAGGATATGGGGAAAATCATGATTTGCCTTGTTTTTCTGACTTTTTTTTTGTAATACTAACAGAAGCAATGCAAGGTAGAAGTGATTGCTAATAACATTCTTTTTTGTAAACTGGAACTGCTCAGTCTTGTCTCAGATTCATGTTTTAAGTATTTAAAAGTGGCTAAAGAACAGTCAGTGCCCTGGGAGAACTCCACCCCATATTTAAAACTCATCCTCCTCCTTGCCTCAAAGAATGTAGCTGTGGTAGGCTTCCAAACAGGGTTAAACACAGCTTACAGCTAAATATTGCTTATATTCAGCAGGATAAAATCCATGTGCGTTGAAATAAGAAATTGAAGCATCTCATTTTTATGACATTTATTAATTCCAGCTTGTACCTGGAAGTCCAAGTAATGTTTGCCAAGAGGCAGTGCATGAAAATTAAGATTTCAGGGTAAGAACCTGCAGCTACTGCCAAACTATGAATATTTTTTTCTATTATGACAGAAAACACATTGTAGACATAAAAGATTATTAAACTGCACTTTCAAGCAATATCAAGTCTCTGGTAGGGGAGCATTATACAAAGTACATGGTGTTTACAACAGCTACCATAAAATTTGCTGCAATCTCATTTCATATTTGAAGTCCTTTAAAATACAAAATGTATATGGAATCTCAACTACCATTCAATGGCTTTTAAATGTATCTTATTAAAATCCTTTAGGGCAAGTGTTAGCAGCATGTTCAAGTGCATATCTAAATTTTTTTTAGCAGATCAAGTGGGCATCTATTTCTAATTGAATTTTTTTCTAATATTTTCATAGCACCTTCCTACAAATCCTCCTTAAACATCATAAGAATAACATTTCCTATTTCAAATGTACAAGACTACTATGTACATAACAGCTTTCCTTTTCCTTCCAGAATGGAACACCTGATGTCACTATTTGTTAACTGTTGTTAACACTCACTTGAATCTATTTAGATCTAAAATATTGCTTCAGAAAGTAAAATTCTAGAAGAAAATGTAAACAGGACTATAAAACTAAAAACAAGCTTTTCGTCATTGCACACACTGATGCCTGCTTACACATCTCATTACTGTCAAGATGGAAAGTAAAGCTCAAGTTTCCTTTTAATAGACCAATCAGCAATTTTATTGGGGCACTAAATATGGCCTGCCTTGTTGGAAATGTACAAGGATTAATGCAAGAAATTGCTTCATAAATAGAAATACTTTTTACCAGGGAATGAAATGCAGCTTGATTAATTTTCTCCAGTTTGACATCTATAACTTTGGCATTGTACATTTACCTACCTATCACACAAACATAACTGTTACTTGAAGCTGAAAAGCTGAAAATCAACCTTTACAATCTACTTCAGTTGTAAAATTTGAATCAGTTCAGAAATTCATAACAATTTGCAGGTGGGCAAAGAAAGCATACAGAACATGTTTAAAGTAGGTATTTATCACACCTAGGCAATGAAACTACATGAGTAGAATATTCATTATTTTATTTGTATTTTAAAAGTTGTTCATAAAAAGGTTATACATCTGCAAGGAAATGCAGGCAGCAATACAAGGCATCTTTATATCTCTGTGGATTTGCAGAGGTTATAATACTAAAGTTTCAATTTTAAAAAAATCCTACGCTATAATAATTATTCTACTAAGAATGTAATTCATATAGTGCCCAAGGAAATTCTGCGTTAAAAAGACTAATAAAATCACACACTCACTAACTGTAAACCCCTTTCTGCTCTTGATGAAAAGGTTTGGAATACACTATAAAACCAAAGTACAGACATTTCCCTTCAGAGTACAAAACACAATGTGAGAAGTAACAAAACCTTGCTTTGCTTTGCACATAATTACTTTAGTGAAAAATGAGGGAATAAAACAAGGCAATTTTTTATTTTCTCATTATAAAAATATTTAGCATAAGAGAGTATATGAGATTCTCAGACGATTATAAGAAAAGGCATATTTATTTCAATGTCAAAAAGCTACATGCCTAAAAGAATTTTTGGAGTGAGACTTCATACTGTTCATATTTAAACAGCTTCATTATTCCTTTTCAGAAAACACGTTTATCATATTTTGGATACCTCAACTATTTGCATTAGACATACTTGCTCAAATAAAGACAGAATATGATACTGAATTAAAGAAAGCAAGGTCTTTTCTAATACAAAAATGCAACATTGAGCAATTTCATTTCACCTCCAGAGAAGAGTCAATATTAAATCCTGCCACAGCTCTCACTTTCAAAATAACACATGCAGCAGTGGGGTCTCTATGGCAATCACCATTTTACTGCACTTCCTTTATAGTAACAATAACAACATTTCTTTTTTGGAAGGGGATTCCCACAAAGAAAAGAAATTACAAAGGAAATCTACCAAGAAATCTACCAAGTTTAAACAATTATGAAAAAATGTAAACATTTGTTCTTTGAAAAGAAATCTCTTTTCCTCATTCTTCTTTCACCTATTCTAACTCCAATTCAAAAAGCCTACAACAGTAATGTTAAGAAAAGTAGTCATCTAATGTTGGTATTAAAGACTTTATTAACTAAGCTTTGGCAACATGCATCTATTTCAACAACCTGACTTATGCCATATTCTCAGAATTCAGCTTTCAAATCAACTACGCAAGGAAACTGTCAGCTGCCCTTAAGTTTAAAGGCAAAAAGTTTTACACAGCAAAAGCAGACTCAAAAAATTCTCTTATGCTAATCTTTCAGGCTTATTTAGTCATGCCATTTCAAAGTATTAAAGAATAACCCATCTAGCACAATACCTAGTATTTATTAAAGCAACTAGAAAATCCCCACCTTCAAACTTAAATCATCTCATGTGAACTCATGTGAACTAAGTAAAGACTGGAATATTACTGTGAACTCAGTACAGACTGGAATAAAAGCAAATCTGACTTACATAAAAGCATACATGGAAAGGCAATTTTGTCCAATTTAAAAGGTCTTCTTAGATGAACAGTAGGGGGAAATACTTTTTCTTTAACACCTTTGGATTTTAGTTGTTGTGATATACAACACTGCAAAGGTAAGTCTTTTTTCCAGTAAGGACTCTAATTGTGACTCAGCTTCTCAAACAAGGAATGCCAGAAAGTAAAATCAGATCCTCCAACAGAAAAGCACAACACATGTAAAATAACTTTTTTACAAAAGGGACACATCATGAAAAAGTTATCCTAAAGCAACACAGAGCTGAGGCAAGAAGAAAAATTGGTTTATTCTTTGTTCAGTATGGGGATGGTTTGGGAAGGATTTATTTTTTAAAAACACTGCTCTTCTGCAGATATCACATTCTGAAATGATTAGAACATAAATCCCCATAGGAAGGACATGGTCAGTCTCAGACAATTTTGTTGTGAATGTTACCCCAGCCAAACCATTCCACCAGTTTACAGTGTACTATAAAATATTTACACAAGCTATGAACTATAAAATATTTTCACATGAACTATAAAATATTTACACTATCAACATCAGTTAGGAAAGAATGATGTGCTGTCAAGCTGGTATGACCCAGGAGTAAAGATTTTGTGGTCACAGATTAAATAAAACTATTGCAAATCATCTGGAAAGTTACAGGGACTATTAGGTTAAACAAATTACTGCTTCCTGGTCTCTTGGATGGTAAATGTAACCAGGAAAGCATAGCTTATGTGCTTTAAGCCAGGTTTTACCAACAAGATAAAGAAAGGTTAGGCTCATAATCAAACTGACCTCTCTGAATGTTCCTTCTAGCAAGGTGTCCAGATGTTGAAGAGGAGCTGGAGTTTTGTCCTTGAATCGTGTCAGCAGTCGCCGCTCAATAGCTCGAAACTGCACAGCCCTTTCAGACAACAGCTCCTGATACTTCTCAGCATTCAAACGTAGCTGCAATTTAAGGGTTTTCAAGAATTCAGGTTAAGGGTCATATACATTCATGTATGCACATTCCAAATGAAATGCAAGAAGGATAGGAAAATTTTTGAGACAGAGCGTAATACTCAAATACTCAAATACTCAAATATGAATACCATTTATGCCAGTTTCATACTTTATACACCTTGTGAAGCTTAACACTTTCAAGAATTATCATTTGCCACTGAAATCAAAACTAATTGTCAACAGCCACAATAACGAGTGAAAATGCATAAGTATCTCACCTAGAAGCCTATTAACAAGAATGAAGTTTCACCACCAAGACACAAAGGCTTCTTCTTGGTTTGGTGTGCTATTTACGACACATGTGCAGTGTACTGGACTTGATATTCATTGCAGTAGAAAGTAAACAGTTATTCCCTCAGCATGAACAGAAGTACTGAATTCTGTACTGATTAAATTATTGTCTTTTTCTGAATTTAAATCCTCTTTCCCTTTATCTATACTGATTAGCTAACAGCAACAAAATTCCTTGAAGTGCTCACAAAAGAATCTTTAAATGATAAAATGATTAAAAGATAAAATAAGAATTTTTATTATCTGGGCACTTGATGTACACTTTCCAGTACATACCTCAAAAATAAAAATTACCAAAGATGAGTCTTTCACAAAGCTGTGATACCACTGTACAGCTGACGTTATAGCTAGCAGAAGCATCAAGACACACAGCTTTCCAAATGCAGGCAAAAGTGCCCCAAAATGAAGAGAAAAGGGAAGTTTCTTAAATTTACATACCAGATTATATTTAAAAATAAGCATATGTCAATCTGTCCAGTACATTATTATGATAAACAGTTCAGAGGTGCTAAGGGAAAAAGAAACACTATGAAGTTTTACTAAAAGTAGTAGGAAAAAAGGGACATCTCAGGTAAGGGATAACTCAGCTAATTTTCTCCTAAGCTTGCCAAAAAAAAACCCACAGTATCTTGAAACTAACAGGGATGGAAGCATAGGAATGCCTTTAATAGATCATTTGACATTTTTTAGATCAGATAATTACAGTATAAATTCAAAAATTTTAAAAGAACCAGCTACAATATATTTAGAGTCTAAATTAGCATCCCAGAAATCACACCTGTATTTTGAACTTCAATGTATTTAAGCTTGATATATACTCAAAAGACGCCTAGGTTTAAGGTATTTCTACAAAAACATTCACTTTTTTTTTTAAATTAACATTTTTTTTCTTCTCAAATCAGTTGAAAGAAAATAGAAATAGAAAGAGCTTGAAATATAGACCAGGATCTAGGCTGACTACTCAAAATATCCCAGAAAATCCCAACAACACCTTCCATCTTTCTGGGTAGTGACAGCTCCACCTCGCAGAAAATTTGGCAGCATGAAAAAACATCCAATAGTATTTCTCATTCCTACCTACCTAGGTTGTTGCTTTGCTCAAATATATGAGTTTAACAGAAATTTTCAAATAGCAATTATCTCTTTTTATTGGAAAGGTATGGAGGAAAGAATGCATGAATTTTAATTGATTAGCTATTCCTACTGGAGAATTCTGTACTGGAGATTCTTCGTTGTCACCTGCATGGCCAAACAGGAAAAAGTAATTACATTTCTTTTATTTCTGGTCTAGCAAACTTCCTTGAGCCTCCAATGATACTTCTACAAGGGCAGTTTCTTAAAAATCTGAAGGGACTTTCCCTTAGATACAACTGTATTTTCTGAAAGCCAAGTGCCTGTGATACTATAGTTATAATCTGATTAATTATTGCATTAAAAACCAATTTTAAATTAGCAGACCATTAGCAATTCACATTTTATATAACATACCTCAAAATGTCGATCAATTAGTTCAAAATATTCTTGCAGGGGAATTGAACCAGAAAAGGTACATGCAAAATCCTTGCAGTTTTGCTTCTTGAAATGCTCTTGTAGTCGGTGTATGAGCTCTTTCGTTACCAGCCAAAGGTCTTCCAACTGATCACTCTGAATTCTGTATCGTTCTTTGAGTGCAAGAACAAATACAAGAATAATAAACACAGTTTTCTGACACATAAATTTGCTACACAACAGTTTAGCTAACACTCAAATAGAATTTGTTAACTGTATCCAAAGTCTAAATGAGATTTCCTTAAGACATGTACATTCAGTAGTGTTAAAGAAATACTTGTATCCTATTGACTGTGCTGCTTCACTTTAAATACAACTAATATTAGCGAAATTGATTCTTATCCAACTCATACTATGACTTGGTAAAAATGGCTCAGTGTAGAAATGAAAAGTGTTAATATAAACTGAAGTGAAAAACCAAATCCTGGTAGCTAGTGTTATCTGTCCCAGCAAATTCATTTAACTCATCAGATTTTAGTGAATTTCAAAGTACCAGGCTAGTGGAATGAGATTTTATTTCTAGTTCATGTTCATATAATCCTCTCTCCAGCTTCTATGAAATCAGAATTAACTAATATTACTATTAGTTTAATTAACAGAATTAACTGATAATAACTAAAAAATGTTGAGAAAAGCAGTGTGGAAAATCATAGCAGCCTTTTAATTTTTTCAGAAAAAGCATTTTCAAACATTAGGTCCTTACATCTTTTCATTACACATCTGCCAATAACTAACAAAAAAAAGGATAGATAGAAATGTAGCTATGAGAACTTGACACAAAATCGTTCCTTTTTTTTTGCCCTTGTTAAAAAGGTCCACAGTAAATCAAATTAACCAGAATTCTTTTAAACTTGAATGTACTTATTTTAAATTTTCTCAACATTACTAATTCAAGATTGTTTGACATTACCACTGGCATCATTCCCGGGATATGTATTTCACTGAATACCAAATGACAAATTCTGTTTACAGTGTAACAGGAAAGAAGCAAGTTTTATTTAAAAACATGCTTGTTAAAGAAAAGAACACCATCTGCTAAAGATAGCATTCGACCTAATATCCATTTTTTAAACACTCACAATGTAATGGCTGGACTTACTTGGATGTATGACCATACTTTGCCTTAAGTGATTTTTCCTTGACGGAAATTAGCTCAGATGTTTTCAGGCCAAATCAACAGTCATTCCATTTATAATTGACATATCTAATACATTAATGGTTTAAAAAGGACAAAACTAATTTCCTCCAAATTGCACATTTAGTTTCCATACACTGTTTGTTGGTCAATACAAACACAATCTAATTTTACCATGGTCTGAGTAGAGAACATTGCAGTCATTTGCTTTTCTGTGATGTTCCAAGTCTCAAAAAGGACAAATTAGATTTGGAAATGTTACAAAACTGAGAATCTGTAGTTAAACTAAACACATGCTTTAAACAGAAATACAGTGAAAGAGAAAAAATAAGTAACTGTGCTTCTGTTCATCCCATGCTTTTATGATGGTTAACCAATTTGTAGTAGTCTTTTTGTTAAAATAAGCTCCATTACAGAAAATTACAACAGATTTTCAGAAATTTCTCTATCAGAAAAGCAGAAAACTGATGGGCACCAATAAATTAAATAGCTTACAGTGTCTTTTCACACTACAACTATTGGCTGTCCAAATAGGACAACCTGCATTAGGAATAGCTGTTCAGCCAGTAGGAACTTTAGAAGATTCAGTTCACTTCTCAGCTAGGAAACCCACATCAGAAGAAAAACCCCCCAGCCACAGTTAGCAGTCAAGTCCTCTTAAATTTTGATTAAAACACAATTTTAAAATTTTCAGCCCAAAAAAAAATGCCTTAAAGTCTTAATCTAGCTGGTGCAAGCTACTTTTATTATATATTTTCTGTCAATACCTACTTCAGGCTGAGTTTCTTTGCAGCAGTCTTGACAAGTTGAAGTAATATCTTCAATTGCTACACTGGTTAAAAGGGATTAGCTAATAGAATTAAAAACTAACAGGAAAACAGATGTTGCTCCTGTTTGCAGCTTCAGCAATGAAACCCAACTGAACCTGGCAACCTTAATTGCTACATGCAGCTCTTCCCATTCAGAACTTAAGGTCCATTTGATAAGGAATATTGGAAAAGAGGTCTTCTTCCATTGTCCATTATAAACTCCTTTCATGGAAAACCAGAAATAAGATTTGACCTTAAAAACTTCTTTTACTTTTCTGAAATACCATTTCTTCTAGTAAAATTTTATCTACACATAGAGGGTTCTTTTTGAAGAAGATTTCCTCAGTTAAAATGCTATACAAGCGCTTTTACAAAGTATAAACTCAGTGTTACATAGCAGAGTAAGTACCTATCAAATAATACATAATTTCATCAACATTCATTAGTTTCACAGAAGATCTGTTCAGTCAAGCACAATCATTTCAGTATCATGATATTCTATCAAAAAATGCTTTTATATAATCCATAGTCTCTGTTTATAAAAATATTCTGAATTATGATTGACTATCAGAGTTCTTACAAATATCTACCTTTAAATAAGTTTTAGTTAGTTACATTTCAAATAAGCACATTCCCCACCTAAGACCTTCTCTAACCAACTCAGTTCAGTGCATGAAGTGGATGCTGGAAACAGGCTGCTAACATACAAAGTGACATCATACTACTCATTTGTTTTCTAAAGTTAGGATTCCCATACACAGTAAATGAGTAGCCACACTAAGAGAAACAGACATTGTGAAGCTCCTTTGTAAAGCCAACTTCACAAGTAAAGCAGTGTGGGAAAGTTTATTCTAAGACTGCAAGCGTCATTCCTAGCTGGTGAATAAACAAACCTGAGAGGAAAAGATTGAAGATTGGGGGTAGGGGTGTATGTGATTAAAAGTTATGGCCTTCAGTAGAAACTAAAATATATTCATTACACAGAAACAAATTTGTCCTTACAGCAATCAGATTTAACAACTATGCAAAAGAAAGTCTAAATCAAAGATTTGAACTGCAATCCAGGAAAAAGTTATTTGCAAATCCTTTCAGTTCTTTGATTTTTAAAAACTATTATTGCACTTCTAGTTTAGTTACATCTGTTTAATATCTCCTATTCAAAGAAATATTAAAAACAAAGTAACAATAAAACAGCATGTAAATAATGCATACAAAAAACAATACAGATGGATTTGATCCTTAGAAATGTAAAACAATTCTTGGTAAAATGAAAATTACTCTCCAGATGGTTTCTGTTTTTAACACATATGATTACATTATAAAAGGTATTAAATATTATTTCATAGGTCACAGCTGACCCCATCAATATTTATATTGCCCATCACAAATATGGATTTCTGAAAACAGTAAGGAATATTATCTCGGTGTTGAAAAAATTTCAACAAACCAAATTGTGATTTTTCACTCAAAGCAGTTTCCACAAAGCATTCACAGAGTGTTCCAACTGAACCCTCTGCAGTGCACAGTTGCTTTTCTAGCTTTTCAATTTGTAGTCTGCTGTATTAAATGAACACTTTGTGCTCTGCTGGCATGGAAAATGCTAAACACAATTGAACTTATGTGGTTCCAAGGCACATGCCAAGAAAGAGTTTAGCAAGTTGAGCAGTTGTACAGAGCAAGACCACAAACTCTTGAAAATTAAGAGAATCTATCTCTTTCAAAGAGCACAAATTTAGGTGTCTGGAACAGGACTACTTAAATCACAAACTGCCCTATACAAGAGATACTGGACCAGGTAACAGCTTATCTACATGCATGTTCATACACTCTTTATACATAATAAGAAGGATCTTGAATCTATATTCTCTTTCTTACAAAGATATACAGTCACCTAAAGAGAAGAGATGGGCATTTACTCAGATGTAGAGAAGCAAGTAGGGTCTGATTCTTAATTTAAGTCAAGGATGACTCAAAGTCAGAGGGAAGTTAGAAACTTGCTTTTTTAATCCCTTTCAAAAATTTCAGTAGGTGACTAATTCCAAACACAGATGTTGAAATTCCTTTAAGATGAGGGGTTTTTCCATTATTATAATGACAGTTTTAGTTTATGAATAAAAACACTGCTAAAAACTTTAAGAAAATCCAATTTCTTCAGAGAACTACCACTGTAGTGTACTATATTTTGAGTATGATTTTTTGTTTTGTGATACAATTTTATTTTTGAAAGGAGTAAGAAACCATCAATTAACACTTTGAAACTCCTGTGGTAATTTACAAACAGATTATCCTTTTTTGTATGATCCACATTTTCATTTTGGACATATTCAAACTGATGATCAGGCTTCTTTTACCCTAATACTGACAGAACTTACGTGATGTTTTTGAAGCAAGAAGAGTGGTTTTTGAACCAGTTAAAAACTGAAATCCGAGAGCATTTGCTTGGTCACCCTCAGACGGATCAACGAAGTCTGAAAAAGAAAGTTAAATACCGCTTTCTGTAATTTGACACTGGCATTCAGCAAAACTCAATCCATTGCCAGGACTATATCAATCTTTGCACAAGCAATTGAATGTGATTGTTTCCCTTCTTAGGTTCAAAAGTAACAAATATCAGCAGTTTGGTACACCCTTCCTTCATTCACAGGTGGAATGTGAGCCACACACTGTTTCCCTTCCCCAGCCTGAAAACAAAAATTGTTTCCCAGAGGTTCAGTCTGTACATTCTAAAAGAACTGCAATTATTGTACAGCCCAAAGACTACCACTTTCACCAGATGCAAGGTCACCTTTAATTCAGATATTTATGCAAAACTTTTGCAGAAATTATCATTAAAATGGTTAAACCCACTCTCTTTTTAGGTTTCAGCAGAGAGGAAAACAAACATTCAGCTTGCTAAAACCAGCTGCTCTGCAAAGTCCATCCATGCACATCTTTCTTTTCATTCCATATAGTGGATTATACCAGTTAAAAAGGTGTAATTTTAGAATATCATGTTTTTAAAACTATTACTTGTCACCACTACTCCCACTACTTCTCCTGAAAATAAGGCAAAAAAGGGAGAAGAGATACTACTTTTATTGCATTTACCAATTCAAATTTTGTTCACAAATTACATCAAAATAATAAATATAAACATAATAAACAGTATACTCTTTTTATTTAATCACTGTAAATGGCATGAACTGAAATCAGAACATTTTAATACCTTCTTGGCCCTATGCTTTGCTTTGTATTCTCAACAATGAATCCCTAGGCTAAAAATAAAATACAATGTGCTATTCTGAAAGCATTATTGCTTAGCCATAATGGAAGCTCATTATTAAAAACCTCAAAATAGAGACCCTTAAAAAAATGTTGCACATCCAGTTGAGAGTAAAGCTATATTTACCCTTAAAATGAAGAGAATCATACTACAAAAAAACAAACAAAACAAAGAAACAACAACACACCAACAAAGCTTACATCACAGTTCTCAGACAAATACATTATATAAGCTTTTAAAGAGATGCAGCTAAACCTTAAAAATACAATAGTAAAGTTGTTGGCCCAGACAGCTCTTAGCAAATTGTCCCAGAACCTTAGTCATCTGAATTTCTAAAACTTAATCACTGCCAGACTGAACTTACTCACAATCACGTTATAAGCCCTGTTTATTAATTTCTTCTTGTGCTAATATGATCATTTAGACCAATGATATAGCCACAAAATATTTACTGAAGTCAACTGTATTATCTGTTTTTTTGCCTGTGTATTATTAAGCTAAATGAGTCACTTTCCTTTAATTCTCTTGAAATCTCTAGATAACATTTTTCTCCACTTTTGAGTTTTATGTATTATATTTTATTTAATATCAGCAACTAGCACTTAGTTTGCCAGTGCACAGTAACATGATATTGGTTTCCTGCATGGAAACATTTTGTGTAATGCATCCTCAATTTTTATTTCTTTGCTTATGATTAGAACATATTGTACCACAGAGTACTCTGTGGTAACTTCCACCTCCTCTCTCTTCCAATTGCAAGCACATAATTACAGCAAAACTTATCTTCTTAACATTACACTTCATAGTACTCAATTTCATTCTTCTTCCTCCAGTCCTAAGTGGAAATGAACTTCTCCTTCATGCTACTTTAATATAATGCTGAACAGAGAACATAGTTTGGTTTCGCACATCAGAAAATAATAATATGTTCAAGTCTTCCTTTTGGTTGAAGAAGGTAACTGAAATTATTAAATATAATCAGCTTCAGACTGATACATCAAATACTCCACAAGTCATCCTCCAAAGCAAATGTACCCCTTACGTACAACATTTACCACTCCTGCTTTGCCCTGCTCGCCTTTTTTTAAATGAATGCCCATGATTTCTCCATTACAACACTGCTTAAGTAATTTTATGTAAAATTACTGTCTGCATACATAAAAATTAGATCTATTCCATGTAAAGAAATCTGCAGTTTTACCAGAGACAGGTATACTACCCCAGGTGTATTACTGTTGAAATATTATGCCATAATTTCTTCCAAAATATATTTTTTAATATACTAACGTAAGATTTTTTAATTACTTCATTACTTCACATGGACAAACAATTCCTGTTGGGAGCTTCTAACACCTTTTATATTTCAAAACCTACCTGGAAAAATGGTGACAAAACTGATGGGAGGTTTGTTGGTATCAATAGTTAGCTTGTGGTTTGCTGCTTTTGAAGGTTGAGCTGGAAAGCAAACTAACTTCAAAGGCAGACTGAAGCTACACTGTGAAACTCTTGGTATTCCTAAAATGAAAGAACACAGATTTTTCATTTCCACATTCTGAATACAGGATACTTAAGACAGCTGTCCTCAAGGAGGTATAACAAGTTATTTAATGTGATTAAGGAATGTCTTAACACCAAAACTATATAAAATTCTCATTCTTCCTAAAATTTTCCACCTAAAATATCTTTAAATTTAAATACTTCCAATTACTTTCTCAAGTGAACATCTTTATGTAGATGGAAAAATAAGAGTTATTAGTAAAACAACTGCATACTATACTTACACTAACATGCAATGAAGATTAGTTTTATTTAATGCTCTAAACTAACAATACCACTTTAACATAAAAAAAACCACTGCAATTACTCCCAATGCTTCAAATACAGAATTGAAGCATCAACTTTTTCATCAGGAATATCACAAACTAAATGCTCTTTATAAGTATATTTACTCTTTTTTTATACACTCTTAAATAACATCTATGCAACCATCATATTATCTGTCAGAGGTTTGGGGCTTAGAAAAAGAATGTATCCAATGGATACATCCTAAATCTATATTAAATTCTGTATTTCAGTTTATTGCATCATAATAAAACAGAACTGTAGAACCAACTGGCTACTGCCCTGAATGTTGGGATCTACTATCACAAGCAATGTCATCAGAATGGTGCAGGAGAAAAGAGGAAGTTTTAACATTAACATTTAGAAAACACATTTGAATGTGTCAAAAATTTTCTCAGATATAAATATTGTTTTAAATTGCTGGCATGTCAGAGATTGCCTGGTATGCTCTATGCAAAAGGCAGAAGTGCTCATTGCTGTGAAATATGGAGTATTTGCTCTGTTGAGAAGACAGATTGTGGGATTTTTAAGGACAATTTTTTGATGAAGCATCTACAGGAAAACCTTGTTTAACATAATAGATTTTTAGAGACAATAAAGTAAGCTGGTGTCAAAAAAGTCATGAAACTGATAGGTACACAGAGGTATACACATAGAGTATAAAAATTGAGCTCAAACATTCAATAGCCATCCAAGAAACCTGTTTTGCTAGTAATTTTGTTTGTTTGCTGCTTCTCAGATCTCTTCCAATGAAAAAACTACTTCTAAGACTCATCTCAGGGAAAAAATGCTATCATAAGGCTCAGATTATTCCCTGTGATTGTCAATTCACAAGCTGTTTTGGCTGACTGATAAGGCCTACAAGTAACTGTTCTGCAGCAGCTTATAAATATAAAATCATAGAAAATTGAGCAGAAGACTCATTCAAACTGAAGACAGGTCTTCAAAATTAGAGTATCTCCAGGTTCCAAGGAAAATTCCTAAAGGAATAGTTGAAAATAAACCCATGATCTGTCAGAATGATTCATTCAACTGTATCTTCATCATCTGATGGGAAAAGTAAAATTTTTCTTGATGACAGCATAACACAAGCATCTTAGTATTAAACTTAGATAAGGAGATTTATCAACAGGAAATATTAGTAGCAAAAGTAGGCAAAAAGATTTTTATTTATATTTAAAACAAGATATTTTTCTTGCTTTTTTCAGACCAGCTTTTTTCTATGTGATTTGCTGTCAGTCTACCTCATCATAAACATAACTTTTCAATATTTCAGACAAAGGTCAAATCAAAACTAAATCAAGTATTATCTAGCTTTTGGAGGAGACTGGGGAGATTTCTAGTTGATTAATCCAAAACAGCTACATATAAGAAAAACAAACCAAAAAGCTGCAACAAAATTTATCACTACAGTTAAAACTTACTGGGAAATGTTTCAGAGTATTTCAGAATTTTAAATGGCACTAAGGAAACAAAGTAGTAACTACATGTGGGAAGCACAATTTCCTCAACCCATCAATGTTCTGTCTAGCAACACATCTCACTTCATTTAGAGTTGTAGTACTTTGCATGATACACAATTTTAGCACTATAATGAAGAAAAAAAAAGGAAATAAAAATTCAGATTCTCCTCTAATCTGAAAAAAACAGATGATGTTTAATGTTATCTCATAAGGTGCTAGTATTTAAAGGCATACTATGTACTTAAGTAATAAAACAGTCGCATGCCCTGTAGATACTATTTCATTTTCAAATTCCTCATGCATTTATTTAGTTATATTTTAAATATAAATTAATGTGCATGATAAATAGTATTAAAACTCAGATGTCCCAATTTAGCATGCAAAATATTCAGAGAATTAATATTTGCTCTGGTATTGTTGACCCTGAGTTTATATAGTGCAATGTATCCCACAGTAACGCAAAAAAGATTTTGTCACAGATAATTCTACCGTGCTCTGCTATATTCTCCTCAGGACAAGGTTTTCATCTTGTTTTGATATTTCTTAAAACAAAAATCCAACCTTCATTTTTAAAATAGTATCCTTTCAAATTATATACAGTTGTTTTTATACAGTTTATTGATCATTAATTTTTTTTATTACTTTGTCTAGCAGAAACATGCCACAGGGTAACAGTTATTCTTGTCAAGAGCAATATCTTATTGAGATGTTTCGAGCATCTATTTCCTGTACAACACCTCAAGGTCCATTGAAACATCCAGAAACCAGAAAAGGAGGGGAATGGTAACAGTTACCTTCCTGCTTCTTTTTACTGCACTTAGTAAGCTCAAAAGAGCATAAGTATTGAAAAATAAGACTCTCATATATTCATCTATAACTTTTGTTTAGAAAAACTGCAAAACTGGAAACTCCCTTGATCTCTAAATCTATGACAATCAACTTTTTTACTTTCTCAAAACACGACAGAATGTGTATTTAATATGTTTATTTTTAAAGTTCATAAAATATTTTCTACAAGCAGCACATCTTTTCAACACATCTACAGCTACACTGCAAAAACCACCCTTCTCTTTTTAGTCTTCATATACATAAGTTAATTTTCCAGTCTTTTTTTGTCTCTTAATTGTACCTTATCCATGAATTGTATCTACCACAATCACAGCTAAGTTTTGTACTGCTGGTAGTCTCAGACAGAAAGCAGCCTTGCAGCCTTGAATGCAATGTTTCCAATAGGAATTGGAATGAAGACATGTTGTGACATCATTCTCAGAGCTACTCAGCCCAAATAGCATAAGTGCCTAATTGCTGTTTCAGTTGCACCAAAGATATAATTTAGCTGCCTAGCTGCTAAACCTGGGAAAAAAACAGATATAAGAAAGTATAATTGTTTCCAATTTCCAATCTCAATGTACAAAGAACTTAATACTTACACAAAATTCCCATGTTACAAATGAGAAAGTACAATATGCTTCACCAAGAAATGTCCTTATGACCTTCTGTTCTCTATATCCACAGCTTCACAGCATCAAACCAAGAATAATAAGAACTTAGAGAAATAATAGGTAAAATAACAGCTCCCTTCCAAATCTGTTTAATTCAACATACACTGTCACTCATAAAACTTGGCAATTTTTGTATTCACTCACCTTCAGGATTGAGCTCTGCCATATGAGTAGCAACAGGACAAAATGGGAAAAAAAAACATGATATATTACTCAAATTTTAAAAAAAGGAAATATAACAGGGGTTTAAAAACCTAATCCACATTTATTAAGTAGACGATACATAAAGACGTAATACTAGCCAAAAACAGACATGAGACCATATTCATCAATAGTGCAACTCCATCCAAGTGACTGACTCATCAAGCTTCAGCTGTCTGAATCCCACAGAGATAGACTGAAGAGTGATTTGGCCACAAATATGGATATCTTTAAAAACTAGAGGAAACAGTCTCTGTTCAGATAAAATGAAGTCACAAAAGTCTTAAAGTTTGTTTACTAGGGTATTACACTTAGGGATTTGACTGCCAAGTAACACTAGTAATTTCACAGAATTATCTCAAATTAATTATTTAAATAAAAATAAAAAAATTAGCAGATCCTAGCCCTAACCCTAATTATGTTCCTTTACTTAGAAGTCTTTGAAATTCAACCAACCAAAGATAAGTTTTTAAAATTTATTCTTCAGTTTTAATAATTCTGTTAGTTGTCATTTCTGCTTGTTCTTTTTTTTAATAGAATGTAAACCATCAAACACATTCAAGATGCAAGCTTTTCTTACTTCCCTAACCAAAAGAGTTGCAAAATCCAACTTAATATCTAAAATAATTTAAGCTTTATTAGCATTACCTGAAAGAAATAATACATTTATTTTCCAGTCTTAGGAAGCAAAATTAGAGAAACAAGACCAGCAAAACAAAAAGCAAGCTTTCAAAATCAGAGGATCCAAGACACTAACTAGTGTGCTACCTATTCAGTCATTCCAAAAACCTGTCTAAGGCCACATCACTAATTTGGACAGTTATGAATGCACAGCATCTCACAAGGAATATGCAGTCAGAATCAGAGCACAGAGGGACTGAAGTTGAACAAGCTGCTCATACAGGTTCCCAATTAAAAGGGAGGGCTTCCTTTTCTTTAGAAACACCCATTTCATTATTTTTCTAGAAATAAACATTTCAGTCACCACACAGCCAAGACTACCATCATAAACACAATGCTTCAAGTGTGAAAAGATACAAAGAAAATATTTACATAAAAGTGTCGATATAGGATAAGGCACTCAAGACCACCACCCTCCACAGAAGCCCTTAGTACACATGCACTTCTTTCATGCCAATCTACTCCATTTGTGCTGGCACAGCTCTGTCTTTGCACAGTGAACCAAATCAGCAAATCTGGCTGAGAAACAACTGGTGACTGTGTGACCAACAGGGGAGGAAGAGCAGGAGCAAAGCCAAGCAGCAAGAAGCGAAGAACTGACAGCTTAAACTGGTTTATGCAGCACTTAACGTGGAAGCCCTGCCTAAATACAGCTTCTCAGTAGCCTGACACATTCACAAGTCTGTGTGTAGAACACTAAGCTAATAAACTTTCAGTTATGGATAGCAGAATAAATTTACATATTCTATTACTAGGACACTGTAACATCACATAAAATAACGAGTTGGTTTCTATTTCTTGGGCTTAGTTTATTATTTGGAATGAGTATGTTCATCTGTTAAAAAGGAAGTGAGGAATAATCATTCCCAGTGCTTTTTCAGATCTCATTCTCTGTGAGGAGGCATTATCATCACATTTGTTGGCAGACCAGGAGGGTAAATAGTCATAAAGATGTAATCAACTTCTCACTCCAAGAGGTGAAACAGAACAGAAACAAATTGATAGGACAGGGTGAGAAAGCTGGTACAGCTGTTTCCCAAGCAATAAGCTTCTGATTTTTCCTCTTTAAGACAAATTATGCAAATTGATGCAACATAAAATATTAACTAAAACTGAAGACTAGATAAACATTATTTCTTCATTATTACTGCCCTTAGTAAATTTCAAAATAAGATTTATAATAAATACATAGGGGAAAAGGCCTCAAAAAAAAAAAAGGCACATCACTTTCAAGTCTCCAGTGGCTCACCTGTTGGTATATTATATGAAACCATGCAAGTCCCCTCTAGTTCTGGTGGAGAACAATTCTCCTTTAAAAAGACAGACAGGACCACAGTTTCAGATGAATCTGGTTCTAAAAACAATACAAAATTAAATCAATTAACAGGAGCATCCAAATGAAAGCAGCATATTTCCTAGCACTTTGGGAATTATTTTACTAAATTATGATCACTTCTCTATTAGTTCACCTTTATCAAATCATGGTACAGCCTTTTCTTTTAATCCTTAATTTGTAAAAGGCAAAATAGGGCCTTCAAGCATCTTGAAGCATAACCTATAAAACAATTCAGCACACTGAACATGGCAAATATAAAAGAAATTAGATTTACATTGTAATTCTGGTATTTTACAAAGACATTTGCTCCTGTCACTCGTTGAGAAAATATAAGAATTGCCCCTTCAAATGAGAGTAGCAGTCAGTAAAGCCCTGTTTCAATAGGGACTATTACTTCCCATTTCAGAGCAGAAATGGCCCGCAGTTCCAACTGAAGCAGCAGGAACACTTGTCTGAACACTTCAGCTCCTCCACATAGTCTTAAAGGTAACCCCACTTGCAGTCTAACCAACAAGAGTGGGGAAAATCAGGATGATCAAAAAGCTGATTCTACTTTGGGAACAGATGGTAGACTGTTCCCCAGTTCACAAACTTACTGTCCCTGCTGGAAGATCAAGACTGGCATTTCTACATAGACAGAAATGTCAGCCAAACAAAATAACCCAAGACTACAGAAGTACTACAGAATAATCGGGGTTTTTTTGCCTCTATCATGAAGCTGCCACCCTGTCTCTCTTCACCTGTCACACATCATATCATAACCAAGGACACAACTCCACTCTTTCCTACTTCATCTTCCTCCACCAAGCAGTGTAAAAAAGCTGTGGAGTGCAGGCAAGGCAAACTTGTAATTGCTTTAATCACTGTATATCTGCAACAACGCATTCACTGGAGGCTGGGCTACACCTTTTCAAACCTCAGAAAAAGTAACAGAATAATACAACAGCTGTGATGGTACTGCCATAATTTACCTAAATCATCGAAGACAAACTGGTCACAGGTCACTGCTAATGGAGCTTGCACACACACGGCCAGGCATGGCTTCTGTGCTTTCACTCTGCTCTGGATTGTTATCTAGATCAAGGAGCATACAGAAGTATTTAAAGGAAGTAACTAATTAATCTGTACAGCAAGAAAAAAAAATCCATAACCAACAGAAAGATACGAAAATCTGCAAAGACCAATTCAGCAACAACACTTAAGGACTTAAAATTTCAACTTCAAAACAAGTATTTTCATTTTACAATTCTTATTTACTCACAGCCAATAATTATACACAGTAACTTTCAAGACAAAAACCTGAGGGGATTTCTCATGTTTTTTGTAATTTTAAACCAAGACAAACTAAAGCTAAAGTATTATTTGAGGGCTTAATACCCTGCACACGTCAAGAGCATTCCTTCTAATGCAAACAAATATAAAACTTTGCATTTGTTAGGTGATTATAGTGAAAAAAACCCAAGAAGAATAAAATCAAAGATAAACAAAGAAATTACTTCCTTTAACTGCATACAGTAATGCATAGTCTTCTGAATAACTTCAAGTTTTGGGGTTTTTTTACTGCAAACAAAATAAGAAAATCCATATACAGGATACTCAGCACAACAACTCCAGATAATGAAAGCTCAGCTAAACATAGAGTGGCCCTCATTGCTTCTATTGTGCACAGCTATTCCACTGCAAAACCAATGGATATCAAAATAGTGTCCCTAACTCATATCTTAAATGAAAGTATAGTATTGACTGAGATCTGAATGTGGTCTGCATAGACAGAGACAATATTTCTAATATTACCTATTTTGCATTGCTGGTCTACCAAGGAGGTCACTACAGCCAGGTTAAATGAATTTAGAATATTATTACTTACAAAATTACTCAAGTGTTAGGAAACTACTTTAATTACCATCAACGTTGATTTAGGTTTAAAAATACATCAGTTATCACAGAAAAAAAAATTCTAGAAAAAATTGAATTCATGGTAACTCCTACATTTAGTATTTTTGTTTCACTAAAAGGTAAAAGATGCATAAACAAGAAAAGAGAATGAGGAATTAACTATGTCTTCTCATTAAAAAAAGCTTATGAAATACATAAATACATCATTCATTTGAACTCCTTTGAGCAGACTTATCACTGATTTTATCAGAATAGTGGTTTTATCCTGTATCATTTTTAGCACTGAAAAATGCAGAGAAAGATGTTGGACCAAGTACAAGTAAACCACACTAGTCTGAGGGGATCTGGTTCAAATAGTTCAGTTACCCTCTGAATTTTTCACTCTAGACTCTCTAAAAAGAGAACTTGCAAGGTCCTAAAAAATTAAAATCCATTAATATTCTTAGAAGATCATCCTAAAGTCAAAAATAAAAATCATGATCCTTTTTAGGCAACACTGAGGAAAAACCATTCTTGCACGCACATGCATGTGCACACATACACACACTTTCTTTACAATCAGTTACAGGAACCAGCTGTCATGAAGATCTGCAATTTTCTAATTAGGTTTTCCTACATTTTTAAATTGCTAAAGCTATGAAAGTATTTTTACAAAAGAAAGTCTATTTCTGTTAATTGACAACCAAAAAGGCAGCTGAAGATTACAAACTTCCCAGTTGAGTAACCAAACTTTTATTGCCATTGGAAAAAATATTCTCATGACTTCAAAAACTACTTCATTCTATCTAAATAATGTTTCTGTGATGGCTTACTGATAAGCCTATCAAAATTAAAACTGCAGTCACTTTCTGACTGTAGCAGAAGGCTTGCTAGAATGACACCATGTCTTACTGAGGAGAAAAAAAATTAACTATGTATTGTATTTCAAACTTCTCTCATTTTCATTTTCTAAGTGAAATACACAGAAAGTAACAGGTTTGTTATGATTTGCCACCACTATTCAAATGCTACTGTTTGAGTTAGGCACAGTACCTTTACTGTGAGTGATGGCACTGCCCCTGTTTTTACCTCACTCTCAATGGCTTGCTGTGGAGAAAAAAATAAAAATATATGAAATTCAATGTTCCACATGAACAAGTGAACACAATAAAAGCAATATTACTTTCATACCATCAACTTGGTAAACACAGAATTAACATTAAAGGACTTATCATTCCTATGACAGATTAAAATACACAAAACACATTTCTGAGTTCCTTCTGAAAATGTGAAGTCTCTGTTTGAAACTCCCTGCAAAAAGGATAGCAAAAGGTCATGAATGTAGTATATATAAGAAACTAATACACTCTGATGTATATAAGAATATTTGAAGCTGTTTTGATTGGCACACTACTTTTTACTGTATATTTATTCAAATTCTGAAAATACTTTCTGCTATTCAGTAGGAAAAGGTGACTTCCAATCTGCCAATATATTATATACACAACATAGCATCTACTATAAAATCATCACACACTATTTTATAATCAGAAATATACCTGAAACTTCAAAAGAAAATTCTAGCAGGCACTTCAATACTCCTGCTAATTTCTATTTCAATAGGCAATTCCATCTACTTCAACATTTATCTTGACCTTGTGGTCTATTTTAATCTTATTTTATGTTTATATTTTATTTTGAAACAGGTCAGTCACTACAGTTGAACAAAATGCTCCCATTTAAACTATTATAAAGAAACACTTCCCTCACTTCTGCTAAAATACCAAATTACTGATTTGACCTTATACTTTCTCATTATTAAACAGTAAATTAAAAACAGTAAAATAAGGGCCACTTCTGCAAACTTTGTAAGAAGTCAGAAAGCTGGTAGACTCTCTGGGTTCCAGAAGTAGGACTTTCATTTGTACATTGTGCACGTTTCTCAGCTAAAAAAAGACAGATACTCTCATACAGGCTTGTCACGCTCTCTGGTGACCGGTGGTTGATTCTGAAACAATAGCAGGGGTATAAAGATATGGAACCTTACCACATTCAGCTTTCAGAAATTACCTGGATTTCCTGGATCAGAGGCCACACACAGGAGGTAGCATTAAATAACAGAATGGTCTTCCACTTGCTTATCTACACAATTTTAATACTCTATATCCTCTTTGCTTTTATCACACAGATAGCAATTTCAATCTTTTCACAAGTGCAGAAGTAGCATTGGAAATTGTAGCTCCCAAGGTAACTGCAGAAGGCCTAAAATTGTTCCTACTTTTGCTTATTGATCCTTCCCCACAAAGTATCTTATCAGATTTTTCCTTCCTAAGCAGCTACTGAAAGACCCCACAGAAAAGCCGACCACACAGGAAACTAAGATATATGGGCAGATAAAGATTCAGAGCTGTGGTTTGATTGATAGACTGAGTTACTCACATATGAAACAGACCAGTTTCTGGATGGTTGAGCAAATGAGCACAGCAGCATTAGAGCATTCTGTGCACCTAACAGTTCCAAGGGTTGTGAGCAGATTATTGCAGCTAGCCAAGACCAGGTCACACTGTCCTTTTTTCCACAGACAAGTGCTAGGACACTAGCACACATTATAAAGAGGTCCATTTATCAAAGAAAAACATCCTTATGTATTTTTTAAACAGTAAGTAGCTGTGAAAAATCAGTTTTGCCAAAACTAGTGGCCAGAAATGGATAATTAAAGATGTTGTAGTGCAATAAGTACTTTGTATGTACAAGTATGTTATGTACAAGCTCTTCCAAATCCCACTTTGACTAATTTTTGTAAACTACATATGTATACAACATGAATAAAGTAATTAGGCTGCAACACCAAAGAATATTGAACGATAGCTTGTTGAAGAAAGATTATTTCCTAGAATGCAGCTTGAGTAGTTTGAGTATTCTGTCTTTGAAAGATCCAAGGGTGACACTTTGTTTCCCCCAACATTTACCACTGCTCACCACTACAAAGTTATTCCAGACCCTAAGTTCCTGTTCACTTATGTTTGCTCAGCCAAGGATCTAAAGGTCCCCAGACAGAATATAAATAAATAATTTTAATAATTCTAGTTAAAATCTTTAATAAAAGTGGGTGCTAATTGATGGAAAACTGTGGGCCATGAAGCTCAGTCACACAAATGTAAATAGTAATCGCTATGGATGATCAGTCTTTATTTACTCATATGAAATCAATGGGTTTTTTGGAGTCATTTCCTTTTTATACAGGTACGTACAGATTCTTCATCCAAATCAGGTGAAACTTCTGCTGTGACAGTTACATCTCTCTGTTTTTCAGATTCAGGCAAAATATCTTAAAGAAAAAGAAAAAAGCAAAAGCAAATCAGTTATCCTCGAAGAAACATTCAGCTACATTCCTAAAAACAATACTATTTCAACAGCATCAAGTCTGAAAGTTAGACCTCTACACCTACTAGTGTAAAGAAAAAAAATAGCAATGTGTATGATTTTGGAAACTTCAAAAAAAGCGTCACAATTTCATTAGATTTCTACAGACAATCTATACCTGGATCTCATTCTGGGTTTCTGATTTAAGTATGAAAAAGGATTTAGATGCATTCTATAACAAGATTTTACACCTAATATCCATGATCTTCAGAGACTGTATTTTTAAGGTATTTTTAAACTTTTGTCCTCACATGCATATGCCAATATACGATGAATAACTACCTCCAAAATAACTCCACACATCTCATGGCACTTCCATATAAATAATTTTATAGTGAATATGTTTAACAAAGAAAGATTCTGTGTCTAACAGTCTAATCTTCAGCAAATTCCTCTGCATTATGAGGTATATCAAAGTTTTATGTATAGACCATTACATGTGGCTTGACTAAATTAAGTCACCAGATTATTTCTAGGACTATCAACATACAAGGCAAAAGAATGCTACAAACTCACTAAAATCCATAATACAAAACCTTATGCCAATTTACACACGCAAAAAAAAATTATACAAATTAAATCCTGAAAAACCTTGAGGAATTGCATAACCTCTTAAGAGTCCAGAAGTACAGCTCTAGGATATTTGCATTTTTCTGAAATGCGTTTCTGTTTTTTAACATACTAAATGTATTGGAAAATTAAAAGTCTGAACAGGAAATATATAGTTCCTAAAGTAACAAGTAAAGAGTTGATGTAAAGGGGCGATTAACATATTAATTGAATAACTGAGAGCATGAGCACATTCAGAAAGCTGCAAGAATTTTATTACACACAGAGTCCTGAAAATGACCTAGAAGTAGTAGACAGCACATTATGTCTTTCTAACAAGGGGGTCAAGGGGAAAGATTTTGATGAAGACAGAAAATAAGTATTCATTTTCTTGTGCTCAGAGAGAAATGCCTCCTTTAACTACAAGAGAGAAAAGCAAAACCTAAACACATTTCTCCAACACCACCTAGAAAAGAAGTTTAGGACTGTTTCATACTGCCACAATTGCAAAGAACTGGTCCTGCCAGTTACACATAGCTCAGCATGGTCCATTCTTTTTCTATCCCTTCTCAACCATTTCTCTCCTGGTTGCTTCTTCAAGCTAACAATGTTGCAACCTCTGTCATACAGTCATTTTTCTATTAGAAGTATAACAGAGATTACAATCAAAGTTTACATGTAAGTATCAGCTTTTTGTTACAATTAAACTGAGCCAAAACACGTTTAATCACTTATGTCATCCAGACTGATGCAAGTAACATTAGATTTAAGTTAGTATAACAGTTAAGATTTTTAAATATTTCATCAGTTTATACTGTAAATCCTTTTTCTTCTAAACGTATAAAACAGTTTAAGTTCAACAGTTTAATGGTCAGCACTGGACAGAAATACAAGACATTTATGGAAATAACTACCCTAAGGTTTTTTAACACGATGACCTAATTCTAAATACCTTCCGCATTTGAAAGTCAAAATGAAACAAAGAAAAATTATTTCCATATAAGGGCAGATATTTTCAAAACAACACAAGCTCTGACTGCACAAGCATGAATTCAAAAGACAAGAAATTCAACGGGTCATTTTAAAGACCGTGTTCAGGAGTAAATTAACAGCAACCAAGGCTCATGCTGAAGTTTTAAGAAAAAAAGCCAAAATGAAACAAAAGCCAAAACATCCAAAATTGACAGGTATTCTTCACAAGTAAAATGTTTTGCTGTATAAGAATGTTCTCATACAAGTTTTACATCCAGATAAAGAAACTCAAGCACAGCATCATTAGGACATTTCTCCACAAAAAAAAGAGCATTAGGACATTTCTCACAAAAACTCATCTGAAAACACCACTTGGATCAGATTAGACAATTTGAGGAAGAAAAGGAATTTAAGAAAAAAGAATGGTGAAAAAATCAAAAATATTCATAGCAAATTTATCATTCATGACAGTTATTACAAAATTTTAAAAGGACAGCTACAGTTCCTTTCTCTCTTCTTAGAGTTTCCAGACAACATGTTGAAATTAACAAGCTGAAGTGGATTCCCTTCAAATTTGTTGATTTGTTATTTTTGTCATGCTTTTCTTTCCTTAAGTTATGATAGACAGACAAGATTATCAGATACCCATAAGGATGGACTGTGGTAAAAATCAGTGGAATTTATGCACATCTATATGCTTAAATTACACATTACTGGATTCAGAAAATTAAAATCCTGATATATGTCAGTCTACCATGATAATGGATGAAGTTACATGTAATTACAAAATAAAGAAATCTTTGCGTTGCAGAATCAAACTCATGCTTGCAGATAAATAATTTTTTTTCCTAAGAATTTCAATTGCGAGGTTTTTCTTTTTTTTTCACCTAGAAAACCATGACTTTTTCTTTAATGCATTTTAAGAACATGCTATCTATCGTGAAGGAAAAAAAAATTAATTTGTTCTTTCTATTTGTTGAAGATTTATCCATAGCTTCCTGTAAAATCACGTGCTTCCAATTCCTTGTACAAGCCAGGCTGTTCAAAAACACAGTTATGAAAATATAAACTTTGAGGGATCTCTGTAGAAATTATGTGCCCTTATTTGAATAAAATCAATTCAAGTTATTAGCAATGTATATAAATTCCAGAATTTATTATCATCAGATGTGTCATTCTGTTCTACAAATATGCTTTTGAATATCAAACTAACAGAAAAGTTGCTTTTAAAAAAGTCATTTTTTGTTAATTTCATAACTTAAAAAGTCATTTGTATTAATAAAATGTATTTGGCAATACTTTTATTCTCTCTGAAACCTAACTACATCAGATTGTTGAAATTCTTCAAGTTTTCTTGCCTTTGTGTAGTCCCTGCACCATCAATTTTTATTCTGAACCGTTGCACTAGTGAGAAGTATCTGCAACCTTATGTAAATAACTTTAACCTTCCAACACCATTATGAAAATACAAAGAAAAAACCCTTTATCCAAGGGCTTTACTGTCTAGGATTTCTTTTTTTTTAATCTTAAATACTAAATTTTCTACAGAAATGTCACTATGGGTAAAGTCTGAAACTAAAATATTTTAAAATGCTAAAAGGAAAGTCAGGTAGATAAAGGTAAGTAAAAATATAGAACAAGAAAGAAGTATACCTTGTGTTTTTGTGGCCTCCCTGATGATTTTCTGAAGCTCTTTCATTTCAGCATTCATTTCTTCATAGTTTATTTCCCTAGAGTCAACCTTAGGAGCCTGGAAGAGTGAAGGATCAGTTCCAAGGTATGAACATTGAAGATGCCCATCATCACTCAGAGTGACTATAACACCCTTCAAGTCTCTGCACAAAAAAAACAAAATAAAGCTTACTAAGAAATTGGGAAGAATCACAGAAGCAATAACATTAATAATAATATTTATTCCTTAATTAAGACATCTTCATTAATATTACTCCCACTTAGTGCAATCATACCTAAGAATGGATTTGAATGACTAAAGAATGACTAAAGGGCCCTCAGAACCTGTAAATCTGTACAATCAGAAGAGGTAATGGAAAGGATCAGAACAAACAAGCTGAATACACTGGACAGTTGTAACCTATTTATTCATCTAAGTCTTTTGAAGTTGCAATATTTAGATTAGTATGCAGGAAAAGGAATCTGGGGGAGGGAAAAGGGAAGGGAAAAGAGGGGTTAGAAGAAATCATGAACAGATGGAAGATGCTCACAAAGAAGACAGCTTTAGGGCTTTGATGGTATTAATAGCTCCCCTAACCAATTCTTTGGCTGCTATTGCAGCTACTGTGCTGGCTTCAAACCCAGGCTGGCTCTTCCCTCCTGTATGCATCTGAAAGGAAACCACACAGATCGAGAGCATTCCCCTTACACTCCTCTGAATCAATACCAGTGAGTGTTTTACTAGCTGCACTATAGTCTCTTTTCTCTCAAGGGAAAAGTACCTCATTGCTCCTACAAAAATCTCACTTGTGTTGCTTATCTGATCTGTACAACGTAAATGCAAGATTCAGGAAAGTATTTAAGAAACTATGAGACAATAGGGACTATTGCCCGCATTTTGCATAATTTGAAGCTTAATCCAAACAGAAGAGAAACTGAACAGTAAAAACCAGCATAGAAGTTAACACCAAATGCTAGGAGCATAAAGTTTCACTTTATTTTTAAAAATGCCTACTTTTAATTAAATTAAAAGCCTAATCATAATCACAGCATTACACATTCATGGCAGTAACTTGCTCTTACTCCATCCTTAGAATACCTTATAGCAGACACTGCCTTTGCATCAAACACAACTGCCATAAAAAGCAAAGATAGATCAAATTTAATTCTTAGATATTAAAAGTGACTTGGACAAGAAGGCCTAATTCACTATCACACAAATCAAACCCTTGTAAAATACTGAATTTATGTAAGCGTTCAAGCTATAATTCATATAGAATTAACAAAAATTCTTTAAACTTATACACATTGATACCTTTCAAAGGCCTCCTCTAGTACAATAGAAATAGCTATGTAAAAGAAATAGAATTCTCTCTGGTTTCCTACACGGTCTAGTAGCATGGCTCCAGAACACACAGATGGAAAACCTTAATCCAAAATTTTCATTGGTAATAGTAATTACAAAAGCCAACAGATGTCACAGATTAATTTTGACCACTGATGGTCCACTTGTACTGTTCAAAATGTGTTTTTGTCGCACACTATTGCCACAATCCCAATGGTGGTTCTACAGCTGCAATCAAATAATCTGGAAAAACTATGGTGTAACTGAGATCATCTGAACTCTGTATAGTCATAACTGCGCACAGGAATGAAGACCCTACTGGGCACTATACAAAAAAGGAATTGCTGTAGGTAAGTTTAAGCTTTCTCTTTCTACAGAAAGCAATTGTTACTCAGTGAAAGAAATAAATCTCTTTGTTGAATTATGAATGTATGGAAACTGCTTGTGAGGGTTTTTTGGACAGCAGGTACCTCCAGTCAGCCCTTCACTGAGGCTGGAATATGCAAATCTGAACTGCCTTCTGGAACAGAACACACATCAAAGGCTTCAAACACAATGTTCCTCTTATCTACCATATAAGCTCATCTTAAACAGAAACAGTCTTCTTTTTTGGGACTACTGCTTATTGCTACAGAAAAGCTTCCATCTACCACTGCAACTTTTAACATGCAACTTTTCAGCACACCCTACCAAAAAGGTAACAGGAAGCTGTCTTTGTGAGCACCATAAGGCTGGAGATGCCAAGACTCACACAACAAATACTTGAAGAAAAATAAGAGGAAGACTTATACTAATTTTCAACTTACATATCCAGTACCTGTGCTAGCAGCCATCCTGTGAATGTCATGACTTTTTTGTGACCTGTGAGCTTGGGGCTTGTATCCTAAAGGGACTTTCTGACAAACTGTAAACTATCAGCAGGAACTGAAACTACGCATGAGTCCTAGTTTCTCTCGCTACTTGGATATTTGTTGTTGATTTGTCGTTGGCTTCTTTGCTCAGGATTGGGTCTGTTCTTTTAATTACATGCAGAACTGCCCATCCTAATTTTCTTATATCCAAAAAGCTTGGTACAACACAAACCTGTGCTTACAGAATTCTGGATGGCACATGAAACAAACACATTGGGACAAACCTGAGTTCCCTAATATGAGAAATGCTAGGAGACAGACTATTATGAATACTTGCACCACAACACAACCTTAGCAAGCATCCAAATAACACCCAATGTACAGGATTTTTGTCAGCATCTGCCAAATGTTTGCAAGGAGCTTTGCCATATTGGTCAGGGGTGCAGCAAAGTCTTTAAAACTGAGGCATTGTTGAGGCAGTGCATGCTACCAAATGTACTGCCCCACTCTTTGCTATCAAATTATAGCAAATAATGATTTTTTTAAGGGGTGGGGGGCAAAACAAGAGAAACAGCACCAGGAGCTTTTTCTACAACTGGATAAAGAAAACTGAAAACAAGACAATTTCTAGAATTGTCCAGCAACGGCTTTGGACAATCTTAACATTTTTTCCCAAAAGTATGCATCTGTTAATCTAATAAGGAAAGATCCATGAGGAATCTGAATGTAAATCAAAAGGACATGAAGAAATATCGCTACAAAGTCAGCAATAAATCTTTGATGATATACTACTAAGGTATAATACATTCAAAAGTGGTTTGTAAGTACCGCCCTTCCTATACACAATTAAGCTGGCAGTCATCTGCAGCTAATCAGTCTGTCAAATGAGATCCATTTAAACTAATGAGGTGATTTACCTATGTAAATTATGCCTGGCTTAACTTCTGAGTCAGCATTACAGAATGCACATTCAGAAGCTCCACCTTAAAATGAACTCATTTCAACCAGCTTTTCTGATAGTCATGACACCCTTGACATCTACACTATCAGAGACAAAAGCATTAGTTTAAGAAAGCAGCATTACAAACTACAATTTTCCTTTGCTTCAGTTAGTGTTCTGCTGGGTCCCAACAAGATTGTTCAACATGAAACATACCTAAGTATAAAAAAGCCTTTCTCAGTAATCTTTCCTCATTAAAAGCGGTCCATGAATTTGCACATCAATAGAAACAATAAGAAAAATATGGGTAAGCAGTTCTAATATTTTTTTTATAATACATTCATTTCTCTGTTGGAATGTTTGTCAGCCAGTCAAAATTGCACTATTTTCTCAATCTTTTTTTAACAGTGGTTAAGGACAGCAGGGGGAGGGGAAGCATATTTAACAGTTTTATAGAACTTTCCCCACAGCTACTGCTCTCACACAATATCCTTGCAAATACCATTACTTCATTTGGCACATTTTGCATACAATCTGGAATTTCTAGTACTTGTTAAATTTCTTTTATTGTAAGCTATTCTTTTTTTACTATGTATCACACAATAGTCAGAGTAATAGTAAATCTAAGGGGACATTTTAACAGTGAGGAACTCAAAGTATAAAACAAATTATTCTGATATCTAAAATAACTTTACAGTACAAAGCAACTCCTACACACATATGGTAATAATTTGAAAAAACTATCTTTTATTGGATTCTGGGTAATAATAATGGCATATGCTTTTTGTAGGTCTTTTCTTACTAAACAAATTGCTCATAACACAGTTCTTGAAGAAATTAAAATGCTTTGCATGTTTCCAGTTATATAATACCAAACTGATCACTCAAACAATTGATTTAGAGGTTGAATCAGTAGTTCTGTTTTACTTGAATGACACATGCTAAGCTTTGGACAACTCTTAGGACAAGGTCTGGTTATTGACACCATTTGCAGCTTTAATTATTTATATTAGCTCATAAAATTTCTACTTCAATTTCAGAAGTGGCCTTAATTGCTATTACTCAAACTAACCATTTTAGAAAACAAGATTCTCTACAATACTACTTTCTGTTCCTTATTGACAATGTATTATTTAAAAACTACTAAACTAGGAAACTAATTCCTGGAATTGTGCTCAAGCATTTTGAATCCATTTCTCTCCTCATTTTATCACCCTTTGAGGTAATTTTAGGCAAGAGCATATCTCAATAGCACTTTTTAGTTTAGTGCTTTTGAAAACCTAAATTATTCTAAGTTCACTACCATTTCAGTATCATTTTAAGGCATAACTACATGAAGTATCTGTAAAAGATACTAATGGAAGATCACACTAGGAATAACTAACTATAAGAATTTTCTAACATGAACTAATGGGAATAAAAGTGAAAAGTCCATCTAACTTTTATTAAACACACACTCCAAAATCTCAAGTATGCCCACAGCTGAATATTCAAAATACATCGAGTGTGACTCAATGCAAGCTACTGCTGATACCCAACAGTCCTGCACATCTCTAGAGCACTCTCAGGCTTCTTTAAAATGCTTTCCTCAGTTAAAAAATTTTGGTTCAACTTACATTAGAAGTAATACTTACATGTGTGAGCCTTCCCCATGCTGCTATTACACATGAAAACAGACAACCTAATTAATATTAAAAATTAAATTTTTTTAAAGTCTTTATATTATATATTTAGCCTGCTTTGCACACTCTGCAGAGGACACACAAACAAATAATGCAAACATAGTGCTCAAATATAATTATTTAACAATATGTAATTATATTAAATAACATAAAGGGACTGCTTTACAGAAAAGCATCCTTCATCTTTCCCATTTGTATGTTACCTTAGGATGGCTGAACTTAAAAGAATACCAGATACTAAACTAGTTTAAAAAATTATAAAGTGCATGCAAGAAGAAGAGGGAAATGAAACATGATTTCATCTTGATAACCAATGCAAAAGCAGTTTTAAAAGGGAAGTTATTAC